TATGAAGAAAAGCTAGAACACGAGGAACTTCGATTGTATTTGTCAAAAGACTGACAATAAGCAAGACCAATACGACATGATGATGAAGTGTTCGACGAAGAGTTCGATCAGAAATAAGATGATATACAAGAAAAAAGTTGCACAGAAGAGCTGGAGGTTCAAGAGAAACGAACAAAATAAATTTTCCAAGTCTTGTTGAAGAAGTTTCAAAAAGTTGAGAAGAATTCGTATTATTTTGGCTCATAGATGACATCTTATCCGAATATAAAATGAAAATTCGATACAAAATAAAAATATTCCGTACTTGTGTTATATTGAACAGTAAATATTATGTAGCTGTGGCATAATTACAAGAGTTTCTTTTGATATGAAGCATTCCGAACATCTTGTTATAGATTTGGCATGTATCATTTTCTATCTTAAGAAGCTGTTTTTTTTCTTTCTTTCTGATAGTTTTTAAAGACGTCACTGTCAACAACACACATTATAAGTAAAAATTTAGATTTTTGTAATAAGGAGGCATCTGTTTGCAACAGCTATCCTGAATGTGTCACATATTGCGCTGTTGTTAACAGCAAACGCATGCAAGAATTCATGATTCATTGATAAAGCAGAAGATGCAGATCAAAAACAATCGCCTACGACACTGTGGAAAATGTACTGAGAAAAGTTCATTCGATTCAAGGACGAAATCGATAAATTCTAAAGTGAAAATGATTACAAATGATCGAAAGATGCTATGTCATGTAACTTCTACATATATGTTACCAGTAAAGAAACGAAAATGAATCATAATAGAATAACTGTCTTATTCGACTTATAATATAAATGGAACTTGAAAAAAATCACTCCCTCCTCCTCATCCCCCCTTAACTTATATACCCAATGCAAACAAATCAGAAGGCTTTATACTTGAACTATATTAAGTGACTTAGCAGCACTTAGAGCTGCTTCTTCGGACTTCAGTATTCAGTCCGTTTGTGAGCATTTCTTACTGCGCTGTGACATAGGAACAAAATTATAGAAAACAGACAAGGATATTGTAAGAACCCGCATAAGAATTCGACAATCTTTTTTTGTTTCTTGAAAATGCAATGCTCAGGAAAGTTCAAAGTTCAAGTTTCGATTTGCTACTCAGCAAATCATGATTGTATTCATATGGAAATTCTAGAATACCGAAATGAATTTCGCACTCTGAAAATTGTCTAGAAACTTAACTTGGTTTATAGACCAAAGAAGTATATAAAAGTTTTAAAAAAATTAAGCATTACTCGATAAATTATACTTTACTACATCAAAAAGAACTCATAGTTATTTTGCAAAGATTTTTTGTATATATAAGTGAATTACAACTTCTTCGTGCGATTGACGTTTTAGCTATATTTGACTAATAACTTCTGTTTCTCTCGATCGATTCGGACAAATTTTTAAATATGCTATTCCTCTTCGTATGTCCCACAATCACACATAACCTCAGCTCTGTAATTTATATCATCACTGAAGTATGAGAGATATACGGCAAAAGAATGTTAGTTTTTGCTGAAATGTGAAAAGGAAAATGAATTTTTTTGGCTATAGAAAAGCAAGAGAAAAGTCTGTAATTAAGCTGTTTTGTCCAGCGTTTGATGCTCCATCAAAATATATAATTGGTTGTAATTTTCTATTTTGTTCTCTCCTTTGTCCAACGCTCACATTGTGTGACAGACACATTATATTTTTGTGTAGAGTAACAGAAACTTGATTATAGTTCTGCCAGTGATAAAGCTAGTGGTGCGCAGACTATACGGAAAGAAAGATAATTCTTTAAATACTAAACTAATGAGAAAAAACTTTGTGCTATCAACTTTGTTTCCGGATAAAAATAAGCAGACGTTCTGAAAAAAGGCCGTTATACTCACTGTGTAGACTGACGCTTTGGAGATTGATTTGTTTGTAACTCTTTGGTGAATCGCTTGATTTGGCTCAAATTTTTACAGTAGATGTAAAACAAAAAGTTGTACAAGTGATAAAAGTTTTAACAATTAATCTGCTTCTGTTCAGAAGAAATTTACATTATACTAAAACATATAGAGTGACAATTTTTGTGCAAATATTTTGAGTTCAACTCATGCAAAAATATTCTTTTCAAGCATAATTTAAATGAATAGAATATCGCAAGCGAATTCAAGTATATTGTGATCTTTATTTTTTGACTTCCTATCCTTCATGCAGAGCTGAAAAGTGTCTCGAACTTTTCCATTAAGAAGTCGATTTCATTATAGAATTAAACAAAAATTAAACTGAACAACATATATTTCTCTTAATAATCAATGAAGTGTTGGAAAACTTTTGTCCCTCACCACAGACACAGAGTATAATAAAATGCTCTATTTAAAAGTTGTTTAGGTTCACTTTCATTTTTGCATATCGATTGTATCAAAAAGTTGTAATTTACTCATATATATATTGAAAGGAGACTGGTGTAACACAAAACTATATAACATTATAGCTACTGGAAAGTTTCTGTTACATATCTAATTAAGCCTGCAAAAATTCGAACAGAAATATGATTGTATGAAATTTAGATATTCACTGTCAAAACAAGTGCCTCAATGTTAACAATCAAGTTTGGTAAAAAGAAGGAGAATTTTCGACATCATCGACTGACTAACATATGTGACTTAACAGTGACTCTTTAATCGTTTTAGTTTAAATAATTTCTCAAAAAGTAATATTG